CCTTGAGCTGAAGAGCTGAGGGACAGCGCCCAGGCCCAGAGTTCAAGCCCCACGACCGACAAAAAAAAAAAAAAAGAGTTTCATGGACTGACAGTCACTGGTGGTTCATGAGTATAATCCTAGCTACTCAGGAGGCTGAGATCTGAGGATCATGGTTCAAAGCTAGCCAAGTCGGGGAAGTGGAGCTGTGGCTAAAGTGGTAGAGTGCTCGCCTTAAGCTGAAGAGCTGAGGGACAGTGCTCAGGCCCAGAATTCAAGCCCCACAACTGACAAAAGAAAAACAAAACAGTTTCATGGACTTTCCTACAGTCTGTTTTTGTTTGTTTTTTGTCAGTTGTGGGGCTTGAACTCTGGGGCCTGAGCGCTCGCTGTCTCTGAGCTCTTCAGATCAAAGCTAGTGCTCTACCACTTGAACCATAGCACCATTTCCGGTTTTCTGGTCGTTAATTGGAGATAAGAGTCTCATGGACTTTACTGCCTGGGCTGGCTTTTGAACTGGGATCCTCAGATCTCAGCCTCCTGAGCTAGAATTACAGGCATGAGCCACTGGTGCCCAGCTCTGGTTTTGAACCATGATCCTCAGGTCAGTCTCCTGTGTAGCTAGGATTACTGGTATGAGCTACTGTTGCCCAACCCAGATTCCATTTTTGATTGAGCTGTAAATCTGAACTTGGTGGTGACTAACAGGTTTATCTCTTGGACTCTTAAGTATTTAATTGTACTATTTGCAGAAAATCTCAGAAGAGACCATATAGGTCTGAAAAACGTTGAGATAGGAATTACCTTTGTTCCTATAATTAAAAGTCTTCCAATTTGTTTGATTTGCTTAGCCTGATTGAAAAAAAGCAGTCCCATTAAATAAATGAATCTCTTTGCTAAAATTAACATGTGACAAAAGCCTTTGTGTAGGATTGAATGAAATTACCCTTCCTCCATAGCCTTTTGGCTGAATACTTGCAAATACTTCTTAGAGCCCTTCCTAGAAGGAAAAGCAGGACTTGTACTTAGATAATATACTTCTTTTTTTAAAAAAAATAATAAGACATTGATTATTTTATTGTAGGAAAATTTCACAAATGAGTGAGGGTAACCTAACAAAGCAAAAACGGGGCAGAATACACAAAGAAGCAATTAATAAATATACTCACAATTGGATAGTATACTTGTATCTATATAGAGGACCTGGTGGGGCTAAATATGAGTCACAATTTTCTACCCTAGTTTACCTAAGGCTGCGCTAATATGCCTGTATTTGTTTTTATTGTCAGTTTTAGAACTTCATTAACAGGAACACTTCTGTTTCTTCATAGATGAGTGCCAAACCAAATATGGAAATGCTAATGCCTGGAGATACTGTACCAAAGTTTTTGACATGCTCACAGTAGCAGCTGTAAGTTTACATCATTCTGAAAATCTTGTATATTTCTATCTAATTGTCATCCCAGTTATATTGATTTAGTATTCATTGATAAATATTTATTTAACTGAGCTTATTGTTATACATTCAGTCCTCTATTACTATTTTTTACTAGTTGATAGATGAGCAGATTTTGTGTGTTCATGGTGGCTTATCTCCTGATATTAAAACACTGGATCAAATTCGAACCATTGAACGGAATCAAGAAATCCCTCACAAAGGAGCATTTTGTGACTTGGTCTGGTCAGATCCTGAAGATGTGGATACTTGGGCAATCAGTCCCCGAGGAGCAGGTTGGCTCTTTGGAGCAAAGGTCACAAATGAGGTAAAGCCAACATTTTTGGAAAAGTAGTTTTGGGGTTAGTAAAGGAACTATGGTGGCCCAAGATGTAATAAAGGTGTAGCCAAGTTTACTCAAACTCTAATAGGTATGGATATCAAATTTCCAGCCCAGTTCATTTCTTTTTCTTTTTTTATCTTTGTGCTGGTCCTGGGACTTGAACTCAGGTCCTGGGTGTTGTCTCTGAGCTTCTGTGCTCAAGGCTAGTGCTCTACACAGCTCTAGTTCTGGCTTTTTGATAGATAATTGGAGATAAGAATCTATAGAGTTTCCTGCCCAATCTGGCTTCAAACCACAATCAGATCTCAGCCTCCTGAGTAGCTATAATTACAGGATTGAATCACCAGCTCCTGGCTCTATATTTTTCTTTAATGGTTAAATGAAATCATTTGGTGAAAGCACCTACTCCAGTATCTACTTGGTAAGATGATTAAATGATAAGTAACAAGATAGCAAGGGAAAAATAGGCAACATCTTTCTTCCTTTGCTTTCTTCTTTCTCTCTCCTTTTCTTTCTCAATCCTTCCTTCCTCCCCCACCCCCTCTTTCTTTTGCTCTCTCTCCCTTTCTTTCTGCTGGTACTGGGATTTGAAATCTGGTCCTTGAACTAGTCAGGCATTCTACGTTTCAAGCCAAGCTCCTAACCCTTTTTGCTTATTTTTCAAATAGGCTACATTTATACCTAGTCCAGTCTGAACTTGATCTTCCCATTATTCTTCTCATATAGCCTCAATGATTAAATGTACACATGTGAATTCAGTGTATACAAAAGTGGGGAATGTTGCTTAGTGGTAAAGTACTTTTCTTGCATGTATGAGGCACTGGAATTGCTCCATAGCATGCCCCCCACCAAAAAAAAACAACAATACACACATGCACACGAAAATAAATTATATGTATATATGTATGTGTAAGTGTTCTAGCTAGGTTCTAGTCTCATTGGTGAAAGTTCGCTTAGTTAATTTTTATCCAGCCTGAGCTTTATTTTCCTCAAATTGCAAAAAGAAAACAACAAATCTCTTTCAGAATTATTGGAAGAAGGGCTGGGAACATGGCCCAGCAGTAGAGTGCTTGCCT